CAGACGACAGCAGTGACGTGTGCGAAACATGAGACTGTGCCCGCTCCGCCCCCGCTCTTTCGGCCTGGTTTGGTTGATTCTGATTCTTTGGACTGGTGTGTCAGGGTGTGGGCAGGGGCGCGGACCGCTACGGGTATGCCGACGACAATGACGGCTGCAGCTATTCGAGCGAAGAAGGAGCAAGCCGATCGTACGGGGCCCCCGGTGCTCCGCCCCCTCCACGAGTGCTCCGAGAGATGGCCAGAGGTAGCATGTAGACAAGCGTGAGACGGGACGTTTCTTTCATGCCGCGCAACCTGTTGGCCCTACTTAAAAGGTGTTCGTAGTATGAGCACTGCTCGTGGGACCCGGGTTTCGCTTCCCTTTGCATCCCTTCGTTCTCCAGATCACCGGCGCAACACGAAAGCTCGACCCACCACCCTCCAAGTATTTTGTCTCCTGCCACCCCACGGGGTGATTGGAGGGCGTGACCACATTCCATCGCCATGGCTTGTACTTCGAAGTGTATGTTTTTTTGCATCCCCTATTCTTGAATAGTGCTTTGCTTGCGTCCGTTGTTGTTGGCAAGGATTTTTGCCGTTTCATCAGCCTGTCAGCCTTATCGCTCTGCCCTTAATTTTTTTTCCCGGTGGTCCTCACCTAGGTACAAGCAACCGCCGAGCACGCGATGTGTGAGCGCGATGATATGCGTCAAGAGACACATGTGGCCGCACCATTTTCCACGTACTTATATATTACGATCTACGTACCATTTTTCTCATCCCGTAGGGCTCCCTCATGTGGCCTTACTAGCGTGAACATCTCTCACTGCCTCGCAAATACTTCTCGCCATGGCGTCCACAGGAACACGCGGAGACGGGACTCCATCTGGGATGGAAAAGCGACCCAGCCAACACAGCAGTTCCATGGAAGACAGCGACGACGGCGGCGGTGGCGGCGATGGGATAGGAGGCCCTTCCCAGTCCGTCTGGCCGAAAAAACGAATGAGGGGTTGGCCCCCCCGGGGAGGTGAAGAAGAGCTCGAGACAGCCGAGAACCACCGCGAGGAGAGGGAGGGGCGGCACGAGGGAAAGGCTGACTCGCGGCGGCCGGGGCGGCGGGGGCGGCGGTGGCACCAAAGCAGCGGCCTTGAAGGCGGGCACACATACTGAGGTGGTTTGGCTTGGTACGGAGGCTAGACGGAGACGTCGAAGCGAGGGTGGGGGCCGGCATCGACCCTAGGGAGAGCATTTTGCGTACTTATGTTTTGCATGCCTTAGCGGTTAGACCTTTGACCACGCGTCCTCAAGAGGGCAGAGCATTGGGAGAGCCCGGGGGGATGGTTTGGGACGGAAACACGAGGCACCCAAGCATCGAGGAGGGCCGGGGGTGAAATTTCTGCAAACTGGAGGGCGAAAACGGAGGATGTCATGGGAGGGCCGGGGGGGGGGGGTGACGTTTGGTTGGAGTTGCTCGGGTGGGACGTTTGGTTGAGGTGAAGGTGGGAATGATGCGACGAGGAAATGGGGGCGGAAACGGGTGAACCGGTTGTAGGAGTATCTGCCGTCGAAATACCTGCGCCGACCACCGCCCATGTACAGTGGGAATTTTGCTGCAGTTGGAGACAGGGCGTGTTCTCGCAGATGTAGAGCAGAGCCAGCGGGTAGTGAAGGGGCGGGGCGAACTGGGCATGACGCCAACAATGGTATAAACTTTCATTCATGGTGATGCCTGTGAACGCGGGTGGTGCAAAACGCAAGTTCGACGGAATGGAAGGGCACAAAGTCGAGGCACCAAATCTTCCAACCGTAGCATCCTCTTCCCCTAAATTACTCCGGCAATATAAGATCGTCACACGTAGGCCTATTCCAGTATGTTATTGAAAACCCTGGGTTCGTGGGGGCGGGCGAGGTACAAATATTCATAAATCCCTGATGAATCTCTCGAGCCCCGTCTGCATAATCTACACCCCTCCCGTGTGCCAGAGGGCGCCTACCTTGGTGTACAAGAGTGATGAGGTACGCGAACAGCCAATGCTACGGAAGCGCCCTCTTGGCAATGCAGCGCGCGACAAACGAGAATCGCGCGCGCCCGAGTCAACGGGACGCCCCGTTCTGCCGTATGTGAGGATTTATGCCGTGGGGTGTCGAGTTGTTAACGAATGCGCGCCAAAGCAAACACAAAGATTACGACCTGGTCTTCTTTCTGACGAGCCCGTCGCCGCCGTGCTATCCAAGGGCAAGAACGGAGGGCCACGGAAGAGGATACAGTTTCATTTTCAATACTTCAAGCTACTTCGGATCTTGTAAATCAGCGAAAGTGAATTTCTCCGTCATATCATTCGGATGTAATGGGGTTGGGTGCTTTGCAAGATCTGAGTAAAAAATCGGCGGTAGAGTGCGTAATCTCGGGCAGGGTTCCGTTGGGACGCGGTGCGAGCCAAACAGTGCGTCCAGGTGCCAGAATGAGTCACCAACTCGCACAACGTTGTTAGAATATGCTATGCATACAACAATTAATTTTGGTATCGGCAAAAAAAAAAATGGCAACTTGCGCCGGGCAACCGTGCTTTTCATCTAAGAAACCCTCGGTATCGTTTTGAAGACGGTGTAGAGAGCACAGGTGAGATGGAGATTCGCACACAACAATTAAACCATACCTGTGTGCAAAATCGTGGGCGTGTTTCTTGTTGTATCCTTACGACGACGGTTTTGTCGAGAAGAACGCGGCGAGGAAAGACGGAAAACCATCGACCAATACTCAATTTGATGCTTTATTTAGGCTATTGGTACTACAATAAACTGCGTGCTGCCCGAAGCCAGGATTCACACGACCCTTGTCCAGGGACACATGAGACCCTCTAGCCCTCAAACTACACGTAGGCATGTCACTTGTATCAATGTGGCCCAACTGCCGCGCGACGAGAAAACGGATGCGAAATATTTCGAGCTCTAGTCTAATGGCTCGATGAAACCTGCTGAAAACCTTTGATGTTGGTATTCGTGTAGTTTATTGCATCTGTATACACTATCAATCTTGTCGGGCTAAAACGAACTCAACCAAATTATTTTTCAATTCTATATACCCTTGACTTCATTCTTCTCACATTATATATTGACGCCCCATAGGCCGAGGGTAGCGCTGCTGTCTGTACCATGGCGAAACAATTATGATTCCTCTTTCTCCCCCTCTCGTCGGGGGTCACTCCCAGCAAGAAAATCGGAAACCGCGCCCGCTTGCTAAGTAGTTAAGTGCTTTATGCTCAACATGATATCATAACGTAAGACCTTGAACACCATTTGTGAGCCGGGTCAGCAAAAACTTATTCAGTCGCCTTTGGTAGCCGACGGTATATTCCTGGGAACAAACATCGACTTGTACGGACCGCAGCCTCGAAACTACGAAGAGGGTCTTAGCCTAAAGTGTATCCGGAAACAGATATTTCCGGCTTCGAACCACAAACGCGATGGTCCGATGCCTTCAGAACGGTCACCAGATCCGCATCCCCATCCGCAGCCGCGAGCAGCTGGGCCTCTGACAAGGCAAATTGCGCGGGAGGAGATGAAAGCGTGAGCGCAATGTGTGGCTTAGGAAAACCGCGACACGCGCAAACGGTTGATCGAGTGGGTGAAGAGATCTTGCAGCCCCGACAAAACGCACAGGACAACTCTGATTTCATCCGTCTAAGAGTACCGAACTTCTGCCGATTCTCTCTGAAAGATATTGACCCCGCGGCAAGTGAGCGGGGTATGCCGCCTAGGGTTGATATCAGCGCAGTCACCCATTTTTCCTGCAGGATTTACTGGGTGAAGAAGAGGACCGCACTCGAAAACTGTTGGAGCGCATCCCAGAGGTTTCTGCGTTAGAATTCCCCCCTACATAGTCACAGGAAAACGCACCCCGGTCCACAGCTACGCGTCTCTGGAACTTGTTCAGCAGATTTTGCTCCAGCATCCGGACAATCTCGTCGAAGGGTTCCTTTAGTATGCCGACCCGCTCCTCGAGGCTGAGCTCGTTGAAGGCCTCCCTGTGGTTCGGCGCAAATACCGACCGAATGAAGTCTGCAGTATGGATGTATCAAGGGCCGGCGATCGTTGCAGACATCTACTGAGACCCCCGAGCCCACGATGCCAGCACTCTGGCACTCTAGCGTACGCTGAACTCAAGGTGAAGCGATGTGCTTCACACCGCCTGGGTGCGCGTGTTTTTAGACGCGGGTACCATCCTTGAATCGCGTGACCCAAAGGGCTTGGGGCTACCGAGATAGTGAGGCCACGGGATCACCTTGTTCCGAACGCCAAGATGCGTGTGCTCATTGAGCTTGATATGTTGATCTCGTCGGGTGACGTGGGAAGCAGGTATTGGTTCAGGATGAACAAGAAGGAGTTGAACTGCTCGTCCTCGGGGTCGTTCGCGATCTGTGGGTAACACAACATGGTGCGCACATACATGCGGTGAGCCTATCGAGCAGAGAAGATTATCGACTGCACACAGACTTCACACCCACATGACCAACACCGTTTCAGTTGACGTCGGATAGCAGGCGGTATCTCTGTTCGCGAGGAATTCGATCCTCGATCCTGCACAAGGAATGAATGCCCCGAACATCTCAAGCACGCCGCCGAATCGATGTTCATATGTAACGTCTACATAGTCCATCCCGCAGAGCGCAGAGAGTGAATGAGCTAGCTTGTGTGTGTCACTGGGTAAAAGTAGCACCATATCTTTCGTATTCTGTGTCTTGCACACTTCAAAGAATACGCACGAGGCTTGGCGCAATCCGTTCGTAGCGGACAACGTCGACGAGGAAATCCCAGCTCTCCATGCACAAGTTCTCCTGACAGAATTTTCCAAACTGCTGAGCCAGTTCTCCACCGCCGCTTGCGAGCCGTAACACGCCGCATTCATCCGACGCCTGCACCGTAAATACTTCTTCAACGGGAACCACGGTGGCCCCGAACCATTCCTGCACCCCGCCACGGTGAGCTCTCGCCATGGGAAGCAACAAGCTGCGTCGAAGCAACCGCCAACGCATTGGGTAAAGATTATTATCGCGAAGGCGACCAAAATAGAAATGGAGCGTTGGCTTCATGGACGCCCCGGCAGCAGGAGAGGATCGAATTGCCCCATTAGCTGTCGTTCGTCCTTGCCGAGAGGGAGGGAGGCCTGTTGGATGTACTCACAGCATTGACAGATTATTGCAACCGAGGAATGTTCCTAGAAGATGGAGCGGGGGATTTTGGGGGTTCCGCAGTTGTAATAAATTGGGGGAATGGTGGTACCATCTTTGCCACATATTATTGTTTTCTGGGTATGCGTGTCAGCAACGGTGTTGGCCACGTGCCCTTGATTTATTCATCTTCCTTTTTCCCGGCTATCACGCCCTGGGCTATCACGCCCGTGCCCATACTACCTATCCACCATCTATCACGCTGCCAGGCTTTCACGCCTCTAGGCTATCACGCCATCACAACAGCTATCACAGCACCAGCGTCAACACATCAGAGCTATCACGCTCCGGAACATCATAGATGCGGCGGGTTACCACACCCGTGGGCAGTTTACTGTATTTTATCGTTGCCGGCAAACTCGCCGCGCGGTTCTTTTATTTTTGCCGTCTACAACTGCGCCGGGCGCACCAAGCCACCCAACACGCTAGCGTAATAGATCAAGAAAGTGGCTGCTGTGTCTGCGCGAATAAGACGGCTGGAGGAGATGGACGAAGACCTCCGCGGGGACCAGGGACTAGTTCCTCTCCCCACGGGGAAGACAACGGGGGGGAAGGACGAGGTTCGTTGAACCTCCCCGATGTGGACCAGCAGGGAGGAACGAAACGCAGCCGCGGATGGAGGGGAACAAGATCCAACTATCGCCCTTGTCGACCTCCTCCGCCGGGTTGCCAACTTCGCCTCCCAGACTCCGGGACATGACGTCCGCTCAGGCACGTCTAGTTCCCAGCCCATAGAGTTGAAGCTGAGAGAGAGAGTCGAAGTACCTGAGTGGAATGATGCTTTCTTGAAGGATCGAAGTGTGACTGTCGCGTTCCGAATTTTTACGAGTTGTTTCTCAGGGTGGATGGATGCAGAGGGTCTTGAAGAGATCATGAGAGGAGAAGAGATTCCTGTGGGTTCGTTGCACGTCGATAAGACTTGGTTGCGGCAGAGGTATGGCGATGAAAGTGTTCGAAAGGCCACGAGAGTCTGGATGTGCTTGATCACGAAAATCAACGTTCAACCTATACTAGACCAGATACTAGCTTCAGAGAGTCCACAAGCAGGGTGGAGAGTGTTTCAGTCCTACTACACTACAAACAGGACGCATGAGAGAGAAATCCTGGACGGCACTTGGAACTGCCTTAGACAGAAGCATGGAGAGACTCTGGTCGACTACTGGGGAAGGGCGAATACTGTGTGGATGCAATTACAGTCTTGTGGGGACAATCGAGAGGAGACGTTAATGTCGAGACACTTTGCACGTGGCTTGCTCCCAATGTACGACGATGTCAAAGACCGTATTCTGTTCCACCCCATGCTTTCGAGAGGTACTCTGGAAGAGACGCTGAGGCTGGTCGAGCACGAGCAGAGGATCAAACGGAGGTGTGGGGAGGGGATCGAGGACACGAGGCATGCGCCCGTCGCTGCCGGCGCAGGCCGGGACGGCGGCATGAGGAGAGCAGCTGCTGCGGGAGCGGATGGCGGACCATCTCATGAGCAGAGAGGTGCCTTCTTCTGCCAGGTTCACGGAGCGAACTCCTCCCACAACACCCCAGACTGCCATAAACTTCGCAAGGACTTCTTGTTCCACTACAACGACTTCATGGCGTTCATTCGCGAGAGGGACGGTATGCGGGGACCAGGTTTTCCTCAGGCCGGGGGGCAAGAATCGGGGCGCTTGTCGGGCGGATCATATCGAGAGCAGCTGCACCAACTCGACCAAGGGGCAAGCTGGGGTCGGGGCCGCCCGTTCTGTCCCCGTTCTGCAGGGCCCGACGCTGATGAGCAGCGAGTCTTCAACGAGGCCTTTAGCACCGCTACTCAGCCGGCGACTCAGCAGCAGCAGCAGCAGCAGCAGCAGCAGCAGCAGCAGCAGCAGCAGCAGCAGCAGTACATCGGCGCTAATCCAACGACCTCTGCCTCCTCGACGGCGACCCCCTCTCCACCTCCGGGCGACACTCCTCCAGCAAGTGGCGCCCCTCTTCGTCTCTTCCTCACACGTAGTGTGAATTCTCTAGGCGAGTCTGATTCTGTGTCTGGAAATGAGATTAGAGTTGTTAGTGATGGGGAGGTGTCTGGTGTTCCCGTTGCTGGTATGTCTGTGCCTGATGTTCCTGTGGTTCCTGTGGTGAAGCCTGCTGTGACGTTTCAAGCCCCGGTATGGCACACTAGGATGTCAACACCCAAAGGTGGTGAGCAGTTGCAGGGAGACTCGGGGACGAGTGCGGGGATGTTTGATGCGAGGGAAGGTGTTGCGTCTAAGTGTGATGTGGCTGTGTTGGGTCGTGCCGAACAAATGGATGTTGACGGTTTCCACCACCGCGCTGGCTACTTTCCCCAACCCGTTTTGAGTTTGACTGCCAAGCAACAAGGGAACACCCTCCCCAGGGAGTTGGGACCCGGGGCCATCGCCGCTTCGCAGCCCGCTGCCACCGCTGCGCCTTGGCCTGTAGCCGCCGCCGCCGCCGCCGCCGCCGCACCACCGCCGCTGCCGCCAAGTCCCGGGGCACCCGTGCCGCCTGCATCCTCGCCGGATGTCGCCGCGCTGCCGGACCCGCGGATGACTGCGACGAGGACTACCGCCGCTCCGCTGCCCGCCGCTGTTACTACCGCCGCGCCGTTGCCGACACGCAAATCGGTGCCGACCTCCGAGGCCGATGGACCACATCCATCTCCGACGGCGCGTATTGAACGGCAAGCCGATGATTTGGCCTGGGATGATACGGACCGGTGAGCTGGGGGAAGGCGAGCTGGGGGGCGACGAGATGGAGGGCGGTGGAGAACAGGATGTTTGGGAGGGGTGCATGTGGGAGATCAAGAACAACCTGCTGGGGGTCGCCCCTCCGAGCGGGGCACTCCGTTTGGGCTCGTGACGCGCCTTGCATCGCGCGACGACATCGAGTCTGATCTAACAATGTGGGTTTCGTGTTTAGTTTAGTTTTTTTTGCCTTTCTTTCTGGCAGCGCGTTTTACTTTTGCACTGGTTTTTTCTTCTTTGTTGCTGTTTTTATGTACATCCAGAATCATGGGGGGGGGGATGTCATGTGTGACCATGATTCTAGAGGGCATGAACAGCAATCGATTTGTTTTTGTTTCCCCATATGAACAGCTACCTTTGCAGGGGGGCTGTCTCCATGTTTGTTAGTTGGCATTTTGATATTCGCGGAGTGTTCTTGCATGAACTCTGGAAATGTAAGGGGTATGTTTCGGGATGTGACAGCGGGGGGCTGTCTATATGTTTGTTTAGTTTTCTATCCGTTTCGTGGACAGCAACGGCGGCACCGATTTGCGTGTGCGCACTGTTTAGTTTGGTGCTCAACGACTATACTGGAGCAAGGAGTTGGCAGGAGTGATTGTTAGGGCCTATGTGCTTTCCGAATACTCGTTTCTGTCGTCCAAGAAATTGTAACATTGTTTCGTTTGAGTTTTTGTGCCTACTCTTTGAAGCTGTTTTCCTCAGAATTGTCCGTCCCCATTCCGATGTTTTTCTGATGCAGCGCTGCCGCTTGTTTGGTATTTGTCTGAGAATGGTTCTGTGCTGTTGACGGTTTGAGATAATTTCCAGAGAAGGATGCATCGCCCAGCGGGGATGGAAACCACGGGCAACGGCGGTTTAGTGACAGATGTATGCGGGTTTGTGGATCCGGAATTGTTTTTTTGGTTGGTTTTTGGTTTTGGCTTGTTTCGGCGTTCTTTCGGATTTGATTTTGCGATTGAAATTGCACCTGCAAGAATATTTGACGGCATGAAGGCTGCGTTGAAACTGTTCAGAAAGGATCATGATGATGGAATAGGGTTATTGGTTTGAATCCTTGCGGCCATGTCGCGAAGGCCGCTACTATGGTTGTGCTTGTTGTTTTTGTTTTTTCCTTCTGCGTGTGGCATTTTTTTTAGGTAGAAGGCTCTATCTACATTGTTGTTGTCCCCTGTGTGTTTGGCGCGCCTCTCCATGTACCATCGGCCAGGGGTAACCCCTCTATTTATATAAAATGCTATGTCTTCGATGCTGTTGTCAATTGTCATTGGGGGGGGAATTGGTGTGTCATGACAATTAACTACAGCAATGTTACGAAGAATGGAATGTTTCGTCTGTTTTCGATGTTCGATTTGCAGAGTTCGGGATTTGACAATGCAGGTTGCGATTTTGGGGTTGTTTCCAGTACCCAAATGTCACAAGATGCGTTTATCAAGTAGAGGGTTGATCCCTTCACGTCTGGTGTTCGGAGAAGGGGGGCCGCAGCCAGACATGCATGGGTAGGGTATGCAGGAAGAAAATAAAAGGTATTGTAGGAAACTGAACGAACGGAGGTTTGTTTGTGTTTGAGGAAATATAATGAAAGAAGAAGGGGGGCCTATCTTTGTAGCACTCCATGACTCCAATGTACCTCGCGCTGTCAACCACGCAGGCAGGGCACGTAGCGATGTCACATGTTTCAAGGAGATTTTGTTTCTGAGGCAGGTTTGGTGTTGCTCCCATGTTGCTGAGGTATTCTGGTTTGTAATTTCATCGTGTTTGTTGGACATTGAATTCAAGATTGGCCGATAGAAAATACTCGAAAGGGTTTTTTTGTATTAATGGTCTTCGTGTTGTTATGAGGATGAGGTATTATTGTGGAGTCGAGCATTTTTGTGCAATCATGATTCTTGTGCTACGTGTGGATTTGAAGTCTCCTCGGAAAGTGATTTGTCCCGGACGGTGTTGGATGTGTTTGCATTTGTGTTCGTTTTCATTTGTTCCTGATATAACCCATTGCGGTTGTTTCCACGATTTGAGTTTTGGATGATTTGATATTGGGAATTTGAAATTCATGAGCGACCGATGGAAATTGTTGGTGGTGTTCCTGGTTTAATGGTTTGGAACCGATGGGAATTGCAATCAAGTGTTTCTGGTTTAATGGTTTTTAGTGAATGTTTTGATCTTTGGAGATTCTGGATACAATGGAGACCGATGGAGATTCTGGTAGTAGGTGTTTCTGGTTCGTTTGCGACAA